AAGCATAATATGTTTAAAAAATGTGTTATAAAAAGGAAAGAAAGAATGTTGTTAACCCTCTTATAATTAATGTATATGCCTTCTCTTCAAATGCATCACAAATGAATCCACTTAACAATTATATTAATATAAACAGAATATATTCTTTGACCCAAGTCAGTACCATTCATTTCCTTCATTTTCTGTCATTTTATCTCCGATATGATGTATCGCACATGGAACATCAATGGTGCTAGAAACCATCCCATTAAGTAATGTTAATCACTTTTAAATTTTCTCTATTAATGGATGTTATCTCTGTTTTGGATATGAAATTGCTTTTAAAAAAAATCAATTAATTAATTAATTAATGTTACTTTATTGCTTCCTTTACTTTTTCTTTAAGATTTAAGATCTTGTGTTAAAAAAAAAAAATCTATTTTTGTTATGTATTTTATTTACATTAATTAATATTTATTTAAGAATATGATCTTCTCGACTATTATAAGTCTAAAATACTTACACTCAATTTGAATCTTTCATTTAACTTACATTTAACAAGTTATAATTTATTACTTCTGGCTATTAGATGTAAGTTGAATAAAAAGTTTACATAAGTGTAAGAGTTTTTAAACTTACACTATCGTGAGATGTGTATATGATCATAGTACAATATATGAACTCATGTGATAATGAAGGACCTATGAATAGAGAGCAAGATACAGATTAAGTTTACATTAATTAATATTATTTAGAGATATGATCTTCTCGACTAGTTTAAGTTTAAAATGTTTACACTTGATATGAACCTTTTGTTTAACTTACATCTAATGGATTATAATTTATTATTTCTGACCTTTAGATGTAAGTTAAATGAAAGATTCACATAAATATAAGAGTTTTTAAACTAACACTAGTGTAAAAAGATCATTTTTTATATATTTATTATTTTCTATTAAGTAATCATTAATTATTAATGCTAAAATTGTAAGTAAAATATTATTCTACATTTGATAAAAATTATTGTTTAACTTGTAATTATATATTCTATTTATATTGATTAGTATGTTATTTATTTATTATTTTATACTAAATAAGTATTATTTATTAAGGGTATGTTTGGAAGAGAGCTTTTGGAGGGAAGGGAAAAGGAGGGGAGGGTTTATTTTTTTAATTTTATATTAAAAAATTATGTATTATTTAGAATGACAAATATATTATTAATTCATTAAATTTTTGTTATTATATTAATTTATATCTTTTATTTTTAAAAATTATTAATTTTAAAAATTATTAATTTTAAATATATTTATTTAAAATATAAAAATAAGTTATCTCCTTCCTTCCCCTAAAAAACCATCTCCCAAACATATGTTAAGAGTAAGAACTAAAATAGAACTGTAAAGAGGATAGAATAGTTAAATGGGTAACATACAAGGAAAAGAGTAACACTAATGACTAAAATGTATCAAAAATTAAAATATAAAAAATATTAATTAAAAATAAAAAATAAAACTCACATAATTTTTTGAAACTATACTAAAGAGTGTATGATTAGGATTATTCGAAACGAGAGTCCATTTACTAAAAGTTATAGTAATACAATGAACGAGTAAGGAGTTGCGGTCTGAACAGAGAGAACCACTAATGCACGTTTGGGGTCTCCGATTGAAAACAAGACAATAGAGAAAAGATTTTGGCCATAACAGTCCTTTGACTATTTGTTTTTCCACTTATTCTCTACAAATGTCTAATCACATTCTTTATTTCTTCTATTCTTTTCCATTTTCCTTTTCTCCCTCTAAAGCTTCATTGCTTCTCTCTTTATCCTCTATCTTTGTAGAAACAAAAGAATATTGAAATAAACCTATTGCGCCCTACAGAGAGGATTTCAAAATTCAAACTCCAAAGTACGAACCAAACATTCTACACTCTACTTAGGTGAAGAATGAAGAGCATTCATTCAAAGCCTTTATAGTGTTATTATGACCTCTTTTTAGAGTTTAGTATTGTAATCACTTCATGTAGTGCTTAGAATCTGTACCTTGCTCTCTATTCATAGGCCCTTCATTATCACATGAGTTCATATATTGTACTATGATCATATACACATCTATGAAGAGATGTTGATTGAGAAAGTCATGTACTTTCCTTCTGTCAATTACCTACAAACCTTGTTAGCAACGTCAATTTAAGATTTGTTGAGATTAAAGTAATGACAGATTTGATTTTATCTCAAATAAAGATATTTTTAATTTATAATACTATATCAAAGTCTTATTTAAATCAGATTTTCATTTATTTTAATATACTAAGTTTTTGTTTTAGTATTTTAAATGAAAATATATTAAATCCACAAGAAAATACATATTTTAATTAAAAATTAAATTTTAAAGATATTTTCCTTGAAATATTAAAGTTCAGATTTATTATATAAAATTGAATTATCAAATCCAATGTATAAAACAAGATTGAAGTTGTGAATATATTGTGTTATAATAACTTACAACCTTGTTAACATGAAATAATATACCAAGTAAATAGCTTATATATCTATTTTGCATTCCTGAATAATCATGGCCTTGGAATTAAAAAAGTTAAAAAAGAGTAGCATCTTGGGATAACCTGTGTATATAGAATTTATTCCCATATCTTGGATAACATATTAATTTGGTTAGATGAAGCTTTTCTAAGAGTGATTAGTGTGAGCAATAAGTTGAATAAAGGGTGTAAAAGAAAGAAGAGTTGGGGAAGAGATATCTAAATCACTCAAATGATATTGAAAACGATATTTTGAGATTCCGAATTGATTTTTAAGTGCCAATAGCCTAACTCAAGTCTGTCTTTATTCACGCAGCAAACGTCCAAATTCACCTTCACATCACTCACAGTTGTATCACTTCAACGATAAATTATATAATTAAATAGCAAGTATTCCATAAATTATGAATTTATAAATATATTATAAAATATAAAAAGTTATGAGATTTTAATTTGATGTATTATTAGTATAAAAATTATGCTGTTAATGAATTAGAGATCATTATATATTTAAATTTTAAGTTAATAATTATAAAAAATAATATTTTTTAATAACGTGATAATTTTTAATTGGATGATAGTATAACAAAATATACTACCAATTTATTTCAATGTAATTCATATAAAAATATAAATTTAAATTTTTTTTAAAATATTTTATCATGCATGCTTAAATTTTTATTTTATAATTTAAAAAGAAACTGTTTTGATTGATAGAACACACCAATTTAATACTGGTGATGTTTGTAAATATATTATTATATTTAATATTAGTTATGTAAATTTAAATATTTATTAAGATGTAATAATAGAAATTAAAGATTTTATTTGATTGGATAACTGACTAAAGAAAACAAATCATTTAATTTAGCATAAAGCTCGAAAAAACGCGTCACAAAACGACAGAAACGCGTGATTACATGTTTTCTTTCGATAAAAAATTAAATTTATAATATAAAGGCTAATAATGTTAATATCTATTATTTAAATTATATTTTTTAAAAATTGTAATTTTAATTCATTTAACTTTATTTAGGGGTACTTATTTTTAACCGACAGCCAGCAATCATTCGAAATTTTCATGAATTATGACAAAAAATATGAATCGTGTGAACCAACATAACATCATTTTTTTTTTTCAAAATTATATTCAAGTGCTACAAGATTACGTTGCATGTCGTATTTCGAGCATTTTTCTATTCGCTCAAAAATTTACGTGAAGTCACCTTCTTATATTCTGACCATATATTGATAGCCATTTTTGTATATCAACTTGTTTATTTGTTAGATAAAAATGATTAGATATAGAAGAAAATGCATTGACCCAATTTAATTTGAGAAATTTTCAGTTAGACTAATTGAAGATCGTATATAGTCATTATGAAAATCAGAATTAAAATTTAAATAAATGATGAGAAGAGAGTCTTGTAATTAGACTGATCCTTAAACGTAGTGACAATAATTAAAGGGAACCAAGTTGTGTCCTACCCTACCCATGCCACTTCATGCTTAATTATGTCCTTAATGTGATTATTCAAATTTTTTGTATAACTTTAGATTAATTACTTCATCAAATTCTCTTTTCCATGGGCATTCTTTGAGGCACCTCAACCAATTTGTCATGATTCTATAAGAAAATCCAATCCAAACCAAACCAAATATTACTATCATCTTCACTTGAAGGTAGCCATATATAAATGTGAACACCTTTGAAAATTGAGCTTTAAGAACACATATGAACCGTGATCAAACCAGAGGCATGAAGACATGAAACAAGACAACCAAAAATATAAAATGTTCAACTTAAAGCCAAACTCTTATAATATTTCTCTTTCCTTTTGCAAGACATGAATCAGGCACATAAATCAAAATCGTCAATTCTAACAAAACATTCCATTTTAGATATTTTCTTTTTCATAGCAGGACAAGAATCAGGCCACATATTTTAAATTTTCCAACATTAAAAAAATATTTCCTTATAAATTATTTTGGAAAATATACACATAGACAAGTATAGAAGAAGAAAAAGAAAACTTTATTGACATATAATATATCCATTCTTGGAACATATGTACTACTCTAATAGCATTAGCACATGGATTCAGAAAAAAAGTTAGGTCATGTCTTTGATCGAATCATGATGTGTTTGGATTTTTTATGGAAAACTTTCAAATCATAGTTCGGACAAATCCGTAAAAGTTTATCAACAAATTATAGTTTGAAGGTTTTCAAAAGGAAATCAAAGCCACACACATCAGTAACTAACTATATTTTATATGATTCATAAGGTAAGAAGGGAAAATTGAGAAAGGAGAAGAAGGATAAGAAAATTCCATTAACATAATTATCCATTCCAGACACATATGTACTTCTCTACTAACATTGGCACCTATGGAAAATTCTTTTACCAAAGGTATATAGCTCATATCTTTGGCCGATCCATGCAGTCACCAAGTGCATTTTATATGATCCAAACTAAAAAGCGAGTATAAGATAAGAAATGAAAAATTGAGGACAAAAGAGCTAGCTAGCTAGCTAGTCCATTCTATCTCATATAAATAGCCCCTTGTGAAATCCCAAGCCAAATTACACAAGTATATATATATATTATATATGTATTCACATATTAATTCCCTACATCAAAATTGCATATCTCATGCTATCATTTACCATAAGATGATTCATTTCAGAAATCTGAACAAATTCACCCGAAACCCAAACCCCATCTGATCCGTTAGCTTGAGGATGAGACACACATGAGAGAATTGATATAGGGGCATGAAGAATGCCATAGATAAGTGAGATTCCACTCCAACCATGTTGTCTTCTTCCTCTGTCGCCTCGAAACATAACTAGTTCAACCCCGTTTGAAGCTTCAAACATGTTTTCATCTGCCACCCTTGAACTCTTCTTTGTGTTCTGAAGTTTCCTAGTCACTGCAGCCACAAGACGCCACATATCTCCAACTATATATTATACACCTGTGAAATATATATGTATATAGCTAGTAGAAGCAGCAATAGAATTAAAATTAGTATATAGTCTCCGGAGCTTGTGTATTATAGAAATCAAAGGGAATTGAAGTGTGAAGAGAAGAGAAAAGGGTAGGAAGTGGCGATAACTCTTCCTCTACTAGGCCTTTGATAATGGTTATTTGGTGGTGGTGTTGATAGTGCTTGTGTTTATCACAAAAGTTTTATGGGTTCCTTTGGTTTTAAAGAGGGCAACTCTCACTAGCATTTTCATTTCCCATTAATGAAAAGGTGGGCCATGTTAAGCCCAACTTGCCGACAAAGCTGCCTAATTGTACACAAAAGTGTGGTCTTTACTTTTGAATTTTTGTTTTACTTTTGTTTGAGTTATACTTGTACATTTGTTACCCAATGTAAACATATAACTAGTTTTAGCACAAACACATGGAGGAATTTTTAAGGTATAGCTTTACAATTCATGCGGGTAATATCAACTTGAAGGGTCCCATACACACATGCATGAAGCTCAAGACAAAATGTTTAGTTGCAAATCTTATCAGAATTGGGTATTCTCACCAATCATTGGATCAGTAACTTGTTCTCAGAGTCACAACCGTCTGATGAGTGGTGATCTTTCTACAGATAGACATTGCATTAAAATTCCAATTAATCAGTGGATTTGCTATGATACTTCGGTTCTTTTTTTTAAATTTAACCTATATTCTGATTTGGTTATTCTATTTGTTTAATCTGTTATTGTGGTTGTGGCTGCTATATATTATATGAGTAGAGTATTAAATAAAAAATCATTAATTGAAACTGTGACTAAATGCATACGTAAGTTCATAATTTGGCTATTCTACAATATGTTTATTACATTTCCAATATTTTACAACAAATCATAACTCTCCCCAATACTCTAGAAAAAGCAAAGAATAGAGAAAAAAATAAAATAAAACTTAGGCACCTAAATAACCCCTTCATCAGAGTGACGCTAAAGTTTATAGGTTCCCTGCAAATCTGGCTAGGTTGTGTGGGAGAATCAATACCTGTACCAAAATGCGATAGGGACATATGTGGTGGTATTTGAATTAGTACTATTGCTCCACTAAAAGGAAGACTCAAACCAATCTAATTGTGGAAACTAAAATGCAGATGAATGCGACAAAAAACTAATTATGGAGAAAACTTAATACCTTGTTCAATATTTATATATAGCTAACTACATGATCACTTCAGAAACCTAACAGCAAATGGGATTGGACTCTTTGAGGACCATAATCAATCAAAATGTGACAACTGTTGTGCTATATAAAATACTAAAATAATTTTAAGTATAGCAAAACATGATCATGATTTGTTTTAGCTAATTAATGAGTCAAATATACTTTACCAACTCACTATTTGTGGGTAATCACTAATCAATCACTGTCTTCTCTCTGTTAAACAACGGGGACCCATGATGGGAGCAGGTCACATTGCTCCGCTTGCTTACAAAAATATCTATTATTCATAGGTTTTATTATTATCCTGTGTATACTTGTTAATTTCTATATATTAAAAAAACCATTCTAAAAAATTATCTTTTTTCAACAAATAAAAATAATCAAATGTTAGAATAATATTTATTGATATGGCTTTATTTATATAAAATAAGTTTAAAATTTAAAGATTTATAGTGACATATCATTTATGATTCTAACATTAAAGTGATTAACAATATACACCAATATTTTGTCTTAACAAAATTCTTTATTAATACAATATACATAATGTTAGAATAATCTCATTACATTATGTTAATAGTTTAATTTTTATTAAAAAAAACAATTATAGTAATAGATGTTATAATCTAATGTTAAATCATTAATAAATGGCAATTTTTTATAATAAATAATTTTTAACGGATTCTATTTATTTTTCTTTAGGAAGTTTACATGTATTTTAACTTTTCATTTGTTAAATTATAAATTCAAATACTTTAAAAGTAATTATGCATTTTCTTCATAATACTAAACATATTTTTATAAATATTTTTTATTTGCTAATAAAAAATCTTGTGGTGAGCATTATGGGGCCATTGACAATGTCATTTTTTTGGAAGTTGTTGGAGAAAGAAACAAAAAAACGCAAGTGTATAAGTTAGAAAAATTATATGAAGAATTCATGGTCTCACTCCATAATTTAACTCTTGTAGTAACTATTAATAGATTATTGTCAATCTTAATACAGAGTTGGCAGCTAAGAACACATGCATTTAAACAAATTACACTATAAAAGATCAATTTTATGCTACAAGAAACCAACTCAAAACTACAAAGGATCAAAGCTATTTTTCAACATGTTATTAAACACTTAAAAATTTCATGACCTATTATATTCAAGTGGATGATTAACCTATCAAAGATAATGATAATGTTCCTTTTCTTCATGACGATTATCTTGCCATTGACCTACTTCTATGAGTAAGAACTTTCTATTAAATTTGTTTTGTAAATTATATTCCTTTCTTTTCTTGTATACTCTTTTTTTTTCCATTTTATATATGAAGTTAAATATATTATAAATCTATCAAGTGAAATATAATAGAAAGCTCCTCATGAATGTCGTGTATAATATATATGTCAAAAGATAAAATCTACTAAAAGTTAATTTACATAATGAAATGAGAGTTACATGATAACAATAATAATAATAAGAATAAGAATAATAATAATTTTAACCATGGTTAATAATTCCAGCCAAATATTAAGCTTTTAAAAAAAATTGAATTATGGTGATAGATAATACGATTTTAATCTTGGCTAATTTAGTCAATAAAACATTTATTAATTACATTTTAAGCCGAAATTGGTCAATGGATAAAGCCACAATGCATATCATAAGAAAATGTCGTCACTATTGTGTTGAGGTGCTTGTCAACGAATCTAATATAGATTGACCATAAAAAAACCGAATCTAATGTAGCATTCAATAGTAGTGGGTGATGCATAAAACTCAATTGAGTTTGGTCAATTCCCGCCATCACTCCCCCCAACCGATGTGGGACTCATCATCCCCTCCCTCCTCGAGAGAGTCGGTGGAGTGGGTGTATGTTATGAGTCCCACATCGGTGTTTCTCCGAGATATGACACACTAGGAGAATGTCTCATGCTAGAAGGATGGACGCAACAACTATTTAAAGACTGATAAGTCACTCCCCCCAACCGATGTGGGACTCATCAGGAAGTAAACTTGTGTCGAGCCTCTTCTTTCATTTGGGCTTTTATAGAGAAAATTTCTTCTGTTCTTAGATTCTTTCTTATCTCTTAACTTGTCTTTTGTCACTTCTTGTTTTTCATGATGGTCTTCCCTTTGTCACTTCTTCTTTTGCTTTTGCTTTTAATCACTTCTTCCTTTGCTTTAGTCATTTCTTCTTTTGCTTTTGGTTAATTCTTCTTTTGCTTTTACTTTTTAGTCATTTCTTATCTTGCTTTCATCTTTGAGAAAAAGGAAGATATATCCCATAACAATCGTCTTCATTTTCTTCTGCTAAATCTTCAAAGTCTTTTAATAAATTTGGACTGTTCTGAGATTGTTCACCTTCTTCTGATATCTTTGGAGATATTAATTGAATTATCTCATTAAACTCTTTTTTCTATTTTTGCTGAATGAAGGCTAGCTATTAATCTTTTTTTTTGAGCTAAAAATTATTGATTAGCTTTTTCTGAAATAGCTGATCTTTCTAAAGAGTTATATAAAGCTAGTATTCCATAATATTGTAACCACTGATTTATTTTTTGTTTATTTAATAATTCTAAATTGAACTTAGTCCACCATTTTATTTTTATAGATCTCACTAGTAATTAAATTATTTTTTTCTCATGAAGCTTTGCAGAGTCATACTCCCACATAACTATCCAAGTTATTCTCATGCTTGCTACAAAGAATAAAACTTGGCATTCAAGAATAAAATTTGTCTTTTCTTTGAAATATTGTAGAGAAGTTTTAACTTCTTCTGGGAATATTTTTGTTTCTGCTCCAAAATCATGATACCAATAATGGAACCAATTTGGAAATTTTAATTATATTCCTTTTCTAAACCAGATAAACCATTAATGAGTAGCTGATCTGAGATATAAAATATTTCTCCAGGCTACAATGTAGTCGAAATAATTGTATTGTTTTGGCTGATAGTTTATTGTAAAAGTTTTATAATGGAACAAGGGCTGTTCCCAGTCTTGTATTATTAATATTTTGTTTATTTTAAATTTAGAAAATATAATGTCTTTGGACTCTGGGTTTTTGTGATGGGTTAACTCTATTAATTGAGTATCAACTAAAATTAACTCACAAAATTCTTGTTTTTGCTGAGAGGATATTGGTACAAAATGACAATCTGGAGGAAATATTGTCTTAGCTATTTCATGTCTGGGAATTGAAAACCATTCTGGTTCTATAGGTATTATTGGGATACAGTCTTCTTTTTCAACATATTGTTTGTCTGGATTATCAGTATTATGAGAGAAGTAATTGGAACTAGTAGGTTTTGTCAACATGGTAAATTTGTTGTAAGTAAGTTTGGCTGGTGTTATTGGCTTTGGTTGAGATTGTAGAGCTTGTAAAGTGGTTAATACCTTTTTACCTTTGTCTTTCTTGGTAGGAGTTGGTGGAGGACCAACTTCTTCTTTTTTGGGAATCTCATAATGTGAACTATTCATTTTTGACATCTTTTTCTTGTAAAAACTCTCTAGTAAGATAATCAGGTAAAAAAAAATTATTTCCTTTTATAGATTCGATTTGAAAATCAAAATTGGATAATAAGGCTTGCTATTTGACAAAAATATGTTTTAAAATTAGATTTTTAATATCTTTTTGTAAAACTTGTGAGGCTACTTTGCAATCAATTCTTATTAAAAATCTTTTATTAAAAAGATCATCTTGAAATTTTTGTAAACATAATACTATGGATAATATTTCTTTTATAGAATATTTTTGTTGTGCAGGATGACATATTCCTGAATGGTACCTTACCACTTGTTCTATTTGGGTTTCTGGTAAAACTTGTTTTAGTATGCCTCCATATCCTAATTTTCATGCATCTGTTTCTACAATTAAGGATGCTTTGAAGTATGGTA